ATAAAGAAATTCATAATGCCTATAAAGTCTAACAGCTAGCAAACAGCCTAAAAATAGGTTCCTTAACATGCTAAAAAATTCATGGCTTAACAAGATATTCTTTATGTTTAAAAGGTCTGTCACAAACAAACTCCTGATCAGACTCTGCCCTCACATCTGTTGAGACAAACCTGCAGAAAAAGAATGCAATCCCTCTAGATTTATGTCAGTAGAAAGAAGAAAAAGAAAAAAAAAAAAAAATCAGAATCTGACCTTTCAAATTCATTTTTTGGTATTTATTTGGGTATTCGTTTAACCAAGTTTCTTTCACTGTGTTGCTCAACACAGCTTTGAGCCACAAGACATTGAATACGATGTTTCGTTTTGGCTACAGAGATTACAGTTTTATTTTACTTGATTCGTCATTACAGAAAAGATAAAGATGACAACAGGAAGCCAAAGGCATTTCTGCATTTAAAAGAGAGGAGAACAAAGTAATATTATCCCATTCTAAAAGGTACATCTCAAAAAAGTTTCAGCCATCTCTTATGGGCTGGCAACCATCCACAGATATTGCATAAACATCACGGTACACAGCAGGGGTTGGGTTTACAATTTTTGAAGAAGCAAGTAGGAGAGCTGAAATGTTGCTCACCAACAAAAAGATTCATCCAGATTTCTCAGTTTAACAGCTTGTCAATTTTTCCCGTCCAATTTTTTAAATGAAAGAAATGTTTCCTTAATCTATGTCTTAATACCCAGAAAACACAAAAAGCTCTACTACATACACCCTTTAGGATACCACAGTTGAACGAAATAAATGTTTGTTATTATCTATCATTGCTTAATCTACCAGCAAAATCAGCATCATTAGTTTAAGCCTCCACATTTTCCTCAGACAGGAGCAAATTTTAGATTAAGTGTCCAATTATTGGCTCATAAAGTCATATTACTGGCATTTCCTTCTTAGCACAGTGTGGTTTAATTGGCAAGGGCCTTTTTTCCTAAGACTAGCCTAATTCTAAAGAATGTCATATGCCTTTCTGAACAACACATCAAACTGCAGGGGAAGTACACTGAGCAATACCCTCCTGAATAAATCTGTCCAGCTTCAGGCCATTAACACAAATCCCAACCGCTCTTCCCATCAAACGATATTGATGACAGTGACGAGGCCACTGCAAGCTTGCTTTGGTGGCCATTAGTAAATTCAATTTTATTTCATTTTTTTAAATAACCAGTAACATGCCAAACACTTCTGTATATATCAGGCTAAAGTGAGTGGTTTAAATAAGTGGACATGCACACAGGTTGACAAATAGCCAAGTGATTTCACATTTAGCTATATACAACATCGTATCATACACTCATGAGAACAAGATGAATATATGTGATATTACGTTCAGGGATTAAGGTTTCAATTGCATGAATTTAGGATGACTGGCAGTAAAAATATCCAGGAGCTGTTATGCTGGCTACCACAAATGACTGTTTTTCAAACCCTTACATCATAACACCACCACATTTTAGAAGTAATTAAAAATCTCAGAGTTTCTGAGGAATTTTACAGGCAACCTTTTTCTATGCTAGTATCTGCAAAGCCAAACTCCTTTTGGGTCATGAACAGAGAACACTAATATAGACGTACGTTATAAAACTTTAAAACAAAAAAAGGCTCTTCCACAGATACTACTTTTTTTGACATTTTAGATAATTAAGGTAAGAAAGCACTTTAGCCATTAATCCTTCTTTATTAATATTAGTAACTTTTTAAATATCAGCTTCAGACTGGTATGCCTTTTTTTCCTGCTCTTAAATGATGCCAAAACTCACAAAACAGCTTCTTTCTTTTTCCCCTGTTTACAATACTTTCCTTCACCTCCAAATTACAATAGCCCAAAAGGCCAAGCAAGAAATACTAATCCCTGGATTCATAAACACTAAACATAACAGGGAGGAGACCTTCCAAAGGGACAAGGAACACCTGTGCTCCATTTTGACCAGTTTTAAGATACTGGTCTTTCAATCAAAACACTCCTGTGACAATTGTGGCAGGCAGTCAATGGGGACACTAATTTCGTCAGGACATAGATACTGCTGTTTTCTTCACTATCATGACAGGTCAGAGATTGTCAATGTGACAGCTCCTTTGTGAACACAGTTGGAGACCTAGATGAAAATCCTCAAAAGCAGATGAAGGCAGCAGTTGCACTCATGAAGTCAACTGTGTACAGTTAAGTCTGTCTCAGTATACGATTATGAGCACAATTCTGCTTGAAACAAGAACATGCACTTATTGCAAACAAGTTACACCAAACATAATGCTTCAGCACAAAGTGACTAATGCCGTCTCTTCACCAGGCAATATGTGCTGAAAACTTATTTTATATAATATTAGAAGTCCTACCTTTCCCTCCAGGGCCTGTATAACTGTACTCAAAGTGATGGAGAAGTCTTGCTTTTGTAGGCAAAGACCAGGAGGAAAAATAGCATTTTTATCAGAAAGCCTACCTGTAAAATACAAAATACCTGCAACGCAAAGCCCTGATGATGTGGTTTAGTAGAAACACTGCATTAGCATTCGTTGGGATGATCGACAGAAATCATTCATGCATTTGCCATGGATTCACTTGCATAAATTCAGTACCAGAGCTCAGCATCCTGCTCACATGGAATACAACCACCTTCCAAGAGCACATGCACCAAGAACACTGCTGGCTGCGACAGGCTCAATTAGGGGACTCCAGCTTTCTAACAGTTTACACCTTCATCAAAGTGCAGGTGTCTGTTGCAGGCTAGAGTTTCTTATAAAATTTAAATGTTACAACTTTCTCAGGAAATTCTTTAGGAAAAAACCACGTCCACTTCCCTAATTACTTAGGCATCTTTTTATTTGTAAAAAATCCAGGTTTGGGCAGTCAGGGGCCACTGAGTAGCCAGATACAGGGTTTGAGAATGTTCTCACTCCTCCCCTGCTTAAGTACCCTGGCACTGAAGAGGAAATGTAGTTTGAGTTCAGCACTGGAGCCCAAATGCAAGGCAGAAGAAAGTAAGATGAAGAAGGGCATGCATGATGCAATGAAAGGATCAGGGGAACACTGGAGAAAAGAACATAGAACAGTTTTCCATCAAAAATGAGCTAAGCTGAAACTGGAATTCCTGAAGCTCCATTAGCAACTATCTGTGAAATCCACTGGAAAAATTCACACTGTATCTTTACTTCCAGTGACTCCTCCATATCTTAGTTACAGACTATATTTAAGAAAATTATTTAAACCCATGCTTTTCAAACTATTTAGGCAATGCATCATTTCCTTAAGATAAAAACAGTTTTGTGAATCAACATAAGCAACTGCAGGGACAGTAGGACATGCTAGCAAAGGGGTTTTGCACCTCTTCTGCAGTTCAAGTTCAGATTCCTTCATAGGTTATGATTTATGATTCAAATTGAACATTATGAGCAGTTACAGATCAAATTCTTCTTGTTTCTTGGGGCCCAACCTAAGACAACACTAACTTGCAGAGTCTTTATTCTACAAATGTTGCTGCAGTAAACAACTATAACCAAAGTCAATGCGAGAATACAACCTCAGTAACAGAAATGCCAAAAAAAAAAGAAACAAATTTCCCAGAAGGAGAGTTTCGAGGCATCTTCTACACACAGAAAAAGCACCCAATTTTATTGAAGTTATCTGTGCATCAGTGTCCTGTCTATACAAAAGGTATGATACAATTTGTTCATCACAAGGGGTACAAGTAAGATTAAACTATAATTTGCAAACCATTTAGATACTACAGTGCAGCACCAGCAAAAGAATTCAGCAAAGAACTAGTAATTCTGTATTCAGACCGGTATTTGAATGGTGCATTAGACCACATGCTGAACAAGTAACACAACAGACTGAAAAGCAGTTCATTCAGAAGACTGGTCCAGTACAGAAGGAAGAAAGGGAGGGTGGGGGAGAAAGGGAAGAATCTGATCACATAATTATAGGCTTTCTGACAATGCATACACACAAAGAAGCCATATTAAGATTTTTCCATACACCCTTAATTCTGTTTTTATCCTTCACTATTAACTGCTTGGTGATTCTGTCACAAATTACAGCTATTTTTGAATATTACAGACAAGCAACACAGCGTGTATCTGTGTGTCAGAAAAGAAATAAGGAGCATATATAATGCAATGTAAAATCTATTCATGTTTTTCTTCTTACAGCACATAGCCAGTGGATTCCATGATCACACAGTACCACTAGGAAACCAACATCACCAAATCTATATTTAATTAATTGCCTTCTCATTTAGATGACAGGTTATAAGGGTTCCGTATGGTAGCACAGAATAAGCATTTTAAAGCAGTGATGGATTTTGCCATTCGCAATGAACGTTCTTCACCATACAGCATCTGGTATTTTTTCCATTTTTACATTGAAAACACTATTATTTGACAATTTATATATACAAGGTATGGCGTTATTGTTGAGTAATATTGCTCACTCTAACAGCAGCTGCTATGAATCCACATAATACAACCAGGAAATTTTCACACTGATCGTATACAACATTTTTAGCATTTATTATTTAAAAATCATTATCTGTGCGTACTTTAAGCTATCTCTGCCTAAAGTACACGCTCAAGAGCTTGGACAAAGTTCAAAGAAAGCTAAGAAACTTGCAAATTACTCCAGTATTTATACTGGGGGGGAGAGGGAGGGCAGGTGTGGGGAAATGTGATGGACTCTGATTTTATGGCTGCTGGCTTTCTCCATCAGGAAACAATCCAGGTTTCCTTTCATACGTTTGTGACACTATAATAACCATCACCTACTTGACTTTAATTAAGCATATATAAAAATTAATATTTTTGTCTTTGGAGAATTATCCCCAAGTGATGTCTAGTAGAAAACACAAACCAAAGGCCTCATTTAATCCACCTACTCCAGGGTTCAATTTCGCCCACAATGAGTAACTGGAATTCCAAGTGGATTTAAAGAGACCATGAGAAAGAAGGAACTCACCATTCTAACTACTTCAAGGTAAGTCTGCTCTGTCAAACAGCCTCTGCTTATTGTAATGTAGTCCACCAGTTCATTAAGAGTGGAGCGCTTGTATTCTTTCATTTTAAGGTCTGAAAGCGTGTCCATGAAGTCAAAAATGACACAGCACTGTTGAAGTTTCTTTAGGAACAGTTCAGGCTGCTCTGAAGATGGAACGTCTATGAAACAAGAAAGGAAATCTTTGTGAGTCTGGCATCTTATTATACAAAACAGGATTTCTTTTTGAAGATCAATTTCAAAGGAAAGCAGCATTCATACAATTTTTGTAAAACAGAGCTCAGATTAACAAACGAACCCCTTATAGGAACTGTATTACTATTGTGTGTTTGAGATCTTGAACAACATGTTGTAGAAGTAATTTAATCACCACCTGCTATTAAGAGAAAAAAAGTTCACCAAAAAAGTCCAGACTGAAGTGGAGAATGCAAACACAACAGCATTCAAGACTTCATTCTACGACATACAACTACTTTCACTGGAGGCTGACATTCACCATTGTTAACTTACACTCCAAAGAGGGATGGAAGAACTGTCAAACAGATCAAGCTTGATTAATTCGTATTTCTAAAAACACTGCGTCATTTATAAGTCTATATGAATATGCATATGAACACACAGCAAGACTATAATTCTGCAAACAAGTTTTCAGATTCAATCACTACCCCCATGTTGACACTTCCCATAGCAAAAATCAACTTTACTGAAACACAGTGAGGATTTTTTGCTGTACTATGAACACATAACATCAATAGGAACATTTTCACACAAAATAATAGTATGTGCTTGACCAATAAAGTACACAGAATGTACTACTTACTACTTCTGCTGTTTTCTTAATTCTCAGCAGATAAAAGACTTAATAAGAGAAATATCAACTACCTAATGGTTCATTAGTTTACCAAGTGCATCAAAAGAGTACACAGAAAGTTTAGTTTATCCAATGTTCATGTACACAAGAGGCTAACAATAGCAGAAAGTTGCAGAAATGAAATATGCATTTTTACTCTGAAAGTATGCCCTCAGACTAGAGGGCACTTCACTTCCTTTGATCTACTTTTATTTTTAAAGGCACGAATGCTCTGTCAGCACCAGAATCCAGTGAATGACCTTCCAAGCTACAAAACAACATCTATGAAAAATTTACTCTGAAAGTATGCCCTCAGACTAGAGGGCACTTCACTTCCTTTGATCTACTTTTATTTTTAAAGGCACGAATGCTCTGTCAGCACCAGAATCCAGTGAATGACCTTCCAAGCTACAAAACAACATCTAAATGAAAAATTTTGCTTATTACAACTAGAAAAATATTAATAGTAAAGAATTGATGTTTATTTCTTAAAACTTGGGACATATTAGTAAAAAGCCAACCTAAGATAGAACTTCTTATTGTTGACACAAGAGTATGTCAAGTTAAGAAATACTTGGTAAACGCTGGAAGCTGTTAGTAGTTGTATAGTAGTTTTAAGGACGAAGTACCATGAATCTAATTAAAACCACGCACACAACAGTTACTAGTTTCAAGTTCAAAAGACCCATGAAATATTACAAGGTTATAGTATATGGATGCATAGTTTTAAAAAGTACTGATAGAGATGCACGACCCCAAGGCACTCCACATCAGCTCTCTGCATCCCTTAAATACTGGAAAAAATAAATATGGATTGCAGTACAAATAAAGATGCTACGTGCTTTCTGACCTGACATGGTAAAGCACAACAGTTTATTCAACCTTCTTCTGCTTACAGCACTGCAGTAGTGACATGATACAATAGGTTAACAAACTGCATCCCACAAAGAACAACCAAGATCTTGGTAAAGTTTAATTGATGAAACCAGGCAGCACACACCAGTCTCATATTCATAAGGCTTGCGTAAGCTCTACAACAGCTGTGTCCAAAGCAAATTAAGGGGGAAAAGAAGTGGTACGGTTATGACACCACACTTTGTATCATCATAATTATTCACCCCACGTTCCCACAGACTATATTCATCTGTGGCACAGAAGATTCAAGAAACGTGGTCCTGCAGAACCCCAACAAGAATTGCTACGCAGGAGAACAGTCCCCCCAAACACCTCTGGAAAACTGAAGGTCCCAAAAACAGGTCACCCTAAAGCCATTCCACTGGCCAGGTGTCTCACATGAGTTCAGATGCCACACAGCAGGCAGCGCTGAAACTTAAGATAAGCCAAGAAATCAGAGAAAGTCATTAGCCCTCACCCATTACAAAAAAGACCACTTCCATTGGCGACCTTTCTAAGGTTACAGCCTTACAGGAGATAAAGGGCCTGGGGAAGCAAAGTACTTGTGAACTGACACATTACTGCTTTCTTGATTACCTGCCCTCAATTAATACAAAAAAGGAAAATGGACATCAGAATTCACTGTTATTAGCAAGCAGGCAACAATTAATTGATTAACAACTTCTTCCAAAAGACAGACTATAAATACAAACTGAAAAAAAAGAGATAAAAGTGCAATCAGTTACTTCTCAAGAGTATTATTTTTAATTCTAACTTCCACTCTTTATTATGCTACCTATAATCTACCTTAGAACTTGACAACATGTAAATGGTATCAATAAAATCTATGGTTGCATTGTTCTACATGGCTTGCACGCATTTAGTTTGGCCGACACGGACATCCTAGTCAAAGAAAAACACAGGCTGAAATCAAACAGGAATCCATTAAGACACAACCCAGCGCAAGTTATAACCAGACTCAAATGACTCGAGATTACACTTATTTTAAGGTAGGGTCGGTATTAAATAAAAATTTTAAAATTACTAAAGCATTAAAATACCTAATAAAAGTTTGTTTTCTTTTTTCCTCCAATTAAGTATCTGGAGGTGTGGGAACAAAATGAAAAAGATAATTAAGTTCTTCTCACGAAAAACCACTCTAGAACACCACATGAAATTCATGCCAGCATTACTACATCAATGAGCCATGGGAACTATAGGGACAAAAACCAACATCACCACCACCACCACCAAAAAACCCACAAACAAACAAACAAACAAACCAACCAACCAACCCCAAGGTCCCATGAAATAAAACCCCAAAACTCAATTGTTCTGGTCATATCTGCTTTTCTTTATTCAGCAAGTTGCCATTCACACTACAAAAGAAAATTGCAAGCAGTTTCATGCAATAATATTTTTCATCATTCTTGGGAATTCGGGGTGCCTTGGGAACAGGGTAACACCTAATGCCTAGGTTTTTTCCACTTGGAAACAGGAAAAGTATATAAGAGTAAATTTTAGGGAGTCCTAATATGCACAGCACGAGAAAAGGACAGCCGAAACCAATGAAATCAGTATTCCATGTTCCCAACCTTCCCGCAGAGACTATGCCATTAGTTGGTTTTGGGTTTTTTTTTTTTGTTTGCGTTTTCTTTTTTTTGGGGGTGGGGTGGGGTGGGGTGGTGGTGGTTTCCTTAATCCTCTAATGCCTCTTTCACAGCTCTACAAACCTTACCGACAGATCACTAAGAATGGACTTCCCCAGCCACCCTCATGCCACTATTCAGAGCAGGGAGCACGCTGGTACTTGGGGCACAGACCTATTGAGCTCCACAGCAGAGTTGAACTCTTTAATGCAATGACTTGAAATGAAACATGCAATTCCTTAGAGATGTTCACAGTTAGTTGATGAAAAACAGCAAATAATTTTCTTCTCAGCAGACGGATACTCAGAGCTTTCAATGAATTCTGCAACATTTTACTCTCGTGCTAATGAGCAGCCACACATTTAGGCCCCAAATTTAATAACCTGCAATATTAACGTATCTACTTTCAGTTGAAAGAACTGAAAATTGAGCAACTGCTCTAATAAATCTGTGTAAATACCTATAATTCTTTAATCATCTATAAAATAAAAGCAGAATGACACTACGAAGTGGCATGTGTGCTTTATGTCCAATGCACAGGAGAGTATACATTTATTAAAATCAAAATTTAAAGAAAGATAAACTTCCATCTGGATGACTGAGAACTCTCCTCATTTTCAGAAGGTCTTTGCTACAAGTTAATTTTCAGGCTTGTCAGTTTTCTCTTTAGCCATTTAAAACTGTATAGTGCTTTTGAAATACACTGAGTATTCACCGATTCAAAGGAAACTGGCTTAGTGAAAGCTAATACATCTGAACAATGATAATCAAGATAGAATCAGAGCCTTTAACAAAATCAAGTGTTTTATAAAGTTATCAGAAAAATTGGCAGAAAGTACTGTAATTTTTTTTTTAGACATGGACCACAATTGTTACTACAAGGGCTGATAATCAAGTTAGAATCAGAGCCTTTAACAAAATCAAGTGTTTTATAAAGTTATCAGAAAAATTGGCAGAAAGTACTGTAATTTTTTTTTTAGACATGGACCACAATTGTTACTACAAGGGCTGAAATACTAATCCTAAAATGGCCAAAGCAATTCAGTTTCTCGCTTAATAGTCTTTTTCCAAAATAATCCTAATCCAACCAGCCCATCCCTTCTCATCAGTCATCTCTGCAGTCTCTGCCTTCGGCATCCTTTTATCAAATAAAGACATAAAAATCAGATAGCATACTTTTACTGCAAGTATCTATCATATATAAAAAAAACATTCATGTTTGTACTACATTCATATTTTAAGTAATTTACAAGTAACCGATTTTGGATCATAGAAAACTAAAACTAGGCATCAGAGCAGCAAAACTGCATCCAGAGAACTGAGTTACGGTTCTCCTCTCAGTGGTAGTGAAAGCCAAGAAGGGGGAGATACTGTACACCTGGATCAGTTCCCTGATCCACTTTGGCCTGTAGTTTTGCAATGAAGGGTATAAAGCCGGGAAGTGAAGAAGTGAAGACGGGGGGAGGGACTGAGCTGCTTAAGCCAGCACAACCACTGTAAGGAAAAGTCACAGGATTGCAGATGCAAGACTGTATAGGGCCTAGAATTAGAATAAAACAAGACAAATGATGCAGCTTACATATAAAATATTAAGCAAAACTAGGATATGCTCACACATGCTACCCTGCACACACATATGTACTATCAGAACATTTATTAATAATTAAAATCCAAATGCCCTCAGAATCACTATTGCTTCCAGTATACACATTACTGTTATTAATTAGCTTGATGATGACATTTGCATAAAGAACTAGCATCATCTTCT